TGTTAGTCTCTAAGGTGCCACAAGTACTCCTGTTCCTTTTGTTATTTATGAAATCCATCTTAATTTGTAATGAGTAACCCCTCTGTCTGTGGGTACTCAAGAAGTATTATAAGACCCTGAAGAGAATGGAATGTTACCAATACAAGTAGACAATTGTGGCAATAGCCACAAGTGAGTCGTAAGAAGGGAATTTTTCATTTAAAGGACGTCATGTGGCTGCATACAAAAATAAAACATCCCAGAAAATTCACTAGCTCCATGAACCAGCTATATCTTTTAAGGATCTACAATAGATTATTCTGGCCAAAAAGATCACAAGAAAATTCAAGGGCTAGGCACAGGTCAAAAATATGATTAACGGATGGTAAGGTCTGACCTCATGAATGAAACAGGACATCAAATTTCATCCAGTGATTCCTGCATCCAGTCTAATAACTTCTGACCGAGCTAGAGCAGATCTTTTAGAGAGACATCTTGATTTAAAGATTTCAAGGGACGGAGACTCCACTATTTCCCTAGATAAACTGTTCCAATGGTTAACTACCCATGTGGAAAATGAGGAATTATAAAGAAAACTATAATATAACGTCTCAAAGGGGAAATTCTGCCCAAGGGCCCCTGAATGGGATTCTTGAGATGTTCTGCCCAAGACCAAATCTCACCAAGGAAAGAGGCTCCCACTATAACTGCATTCTTGCTGCTGGCCAGTTTCACTACCCGGTTGGCATCTTCAGGGGTTCGGATGTTGAAAACATTCTCGACTTCTTTGCCTTTACAGCTAAGGGCTTTGGGCCTGAAAAACACACATTCAGGAAAAGATTTTGTCAGGTTTCAATTGTGGTTTTCTGTATCCTTTCTGTTACTAAACATGTCTCTGCAAGCGCAGCACAGAGCGACTCAAGGAGCCAACACACTGTCTAATAGAACTGCAAGTGATCTTCCAGCTTGCTGCTCTGACACCGGCCACTACCAGCTCTTGCAATCTCCAAAATAAAATGTAAAATCTCCGTAATAGAGGTGGTCACAGAGAAAGTTTTCTGATCCCCAGCAGTTACTGATTGGCTGGTGAGCTCAAGCAGGAGGGGTTCTCTCTCTCATAAATGTTTGTCCCATTTAATGTAACATATTCATTTGTATTCATGATTGAGCTTGACCTGCCCTTGCTATCAGAGCGAGACGGCAGCAGGTTACTTCTGAAGATGGGTGTTTTCATTATGCTCTCCAGACTGCCTGGGGCTCAGTAACCCAGGCCCAAACCAGTTCCCTCCATCTGTGCCAGTGACAAGGGGCATGGTGCTGGGGTGCGAGGCAGAGATTGTAGCCACACTGCAGCAAAACAACAAATTGTACAGCAGAAATGCTGAATCTGGTGGCATCTTGAAAAAAATGTCAACTACTGCAGCTGCCCCAGGGATCCTGACTGAGATGAATGAAACAGTTCACATCTTTTAGAACTATTGTTTCAGGCTTTCTGCAGACTCAGGCACAGGACCCTGCCTCAGTGACAGCTGGTCCAGTTTTCAGAATTATCTCCAGTACCAAAAGAGCTGGAATCATAATTACCAACTAGAGAAACGTGAGATTCTGGGGCCCAATGCTGCAGCAATGCCTGTGTCATTACTTATACACAGCAGAACAGAAATTGAGAAAGAGACATCCCAAAACAGCCCCCTGACTGGTGACTTGGGCATTGCCCTGGGAAATAGGATGCCCACGTTCAAGTCCCTGTTCCACATCAAGTGTTTGAGAACAGATCTCCCGCCGTATGCTCATGTGAGTGCTCTAACCACTGGGCTATGGACTCTATCTCTGGTTTTTCCATGAGAAAGTCTGTTCTTGCTCAGGCACTTAGCACCAGGAAAAGGGTCACAGCTGCGAGTCCCCACAGGAGACAGACACTTTCCTCCAGCCCAAAGTTAGGTGAAGGCATGTGTTAAGCCCCACCCCCTTCCTCCGCATTTCTAATTGGCTAGCTCAGGAGGCTCCCCATTCCGCTTGCTGGGGTCTGCCAATCCCATTCTTAGGCCCCTAACTCTCCCCCTGCATTGCATAGGGAGTGTGGGCACTGTGCTACAGCAGGGCCAGAGGGCAGCAGCACCTACCTCAGGGCTGAGGAGTCCGCTGGGTGGCAGGCAACTAAAAATTAGGCATTGCAGTGCTCAGCTTTGCGACACTCAAGTCTCTATGTGGATCTAGCCCTAAGGGATCTTAGGCAGATACGGGCTTCGATTACATCTGAAAATGGGATTCAGGTTCTTAAGTAACTTTGGTGCTTTTGAAAATTTTACCCAGGCGCTTACGTATAAGGGTTTTAAAAGTATTTTCAAACAATATAATAACATATGAACATTTAGGACTCGATTCCCAAAGAAACTTGGGCATGACAATGCTGAGTATCACCCGCCTAATTTTTAGATGCCTGGGAAAAAATCACTGGGAGTCACAAAGCCTGGGTTAGGTGTTATGACCCAACTGCCCCAGTTTGGCAACAGACTAGGGGTACATAGTTCCTAGTCTGTATGCCAAGACATGCCCACATGGGCATGCTTCCCCTACCGTCACCATCTTCATGAAGTTTCACCAAAGATAGGGCATCTGGGGTCTCTGCCGAATGCTAAGAACTTTCTGGTGGTCATGGTTATTGCAGGATGTATGTATGGAAAAGATTTTAAGAGTTAAGTGGGGCCCAGTGAGCTGGGGGATAGTGTCACAGAGGTGGGGAAAGGGAAATCTGCGCATGTCTGTGAGTTTCAGGGGTACAATCTTGACCACATATCTTGGTGTGGATTGTCCCACTGTGCTACTATACATACCTAATGCTATCATATGCAGGAAGCTACATTAACGCAATGTTAATGTTGTACATTTAAACACTACAAACCAGGAAATGTGAATGTTAAGGGCATACATGCGAAAAGTAAGTCTACTAGTATGGCTTACAGTACAGGGCTCAGGGTTCTGTATCATGACCTTCAGGCCCATAACATCTATTGGCAAGCCTCCATATCTTAGTCACTTCCCATATATATTCCTGCTCTCGATGCACATTCAGATCTAGAGCTGTTCAGAAAATGGTATTTCTGTCCCGGAGAAATTCTGGTATTTCAACATTTGATTTCATCCTGAAACAGGGTCCTCCTATTTCCAGGGTCAGAATTAGGGTCTAATTCTGCAAAACACACTCATAGGAGCCATAGGTGCCGACTCCGTGGGTGCTCTGGGGCTGGAGCACCCATGGGGAAAAATTGGTGGGTGCTCTGCACCCACCGGCAGCCAAGCTCCCCTCCCTGCCCCCCCACCCCAGCTCACCTCCGCCTCCTCCCCTGAGCACACGGTGTCCCTGCTTCTCCTCCCAGCACTTGCTGCTGCAAAACAGCTGTTTCGCGGCATAACAAGCTCTGGGAGGAAGGGGGGAGGAGCGTAGGGTTACCATATTTCCACAAGCCCCGCCCTAGCCCCGCCCTAGCCCCGCCCCCGCCCCGCCCCCATCCACTCCCTCCCACTTCCCACCCCCTGACTGCCCCCCTCAGAATCCCAACCCCCCCTGCTTCTCGTCCCGACCGCCCCCTGCTGAGAACCCCCCACCCTAACTGCCCCCCCTAGGACCCTACCTGTCCCCTGACTGCCCCGACCCTTATCCACTCACATGGGTGGCAGGGTTGTAGAAATTTTGGTGGTGCCCAGAACCCACCCCCCCCACCTGCCTAAGGCTCTGGGAGGGGGGTGGAGGTCTGGGGTGCAGGTCCTGGGCTGGGGATTAGGGTGCAGGAGGGGTGCAGGGTGCAGATTCTGGGATAGAGTTTGGGTGCTGGGTGCAGGTTCCGGGCTGGGGCAGGGGGTGGGTGTGCAGGAAGGCGTGAGGGGTGCAGGCTCTGGGATGGAGTTTGGGGGTGGGAGGCGGTGCAAAGGCAGGGGATGCAGGCTTTGGGAGGGAGTTTGAGGGCAGGAGGGGGTGTGTGGGAAGGGGGGAGGGGTTTTTGGAGGGAGTTTGGGGATAGGAGGGGATGCAGGGGTGAGGGCTGTGGGTCTGAGGATGGGGGTTCATGATGCAGGAGGGGGCTCAGGGCTGGGGCAGAGGATTAGGGTGCAGGGGGATGAGGGCTGGGGCTGGGGGGTTTGGGGCGTTGGAGAGGCTCGGGGCTAGGGTGGAAGGGCAGGGTAAGGGCAGCCTGTCTTCCCATTAGTGCATGGGGGACGCTAGGACCCGGGGGCAGCAGACAGCAGTTGCTGCTGGCTCTGGCAGTACAAGCAGGCAAGGGAGAGGCAGGGAAGGGGAGGCACGGGGGAGGGGACGCGCAGAGGGGGGGTGGCAGGTGGAGGCCGGGGACCCATCCAACACTCCCCCGCTCCCTGACTGCCCCCCCCGGACTCCCCTTACCATTCTGGCTCCACGTGTTTGCAAAACATGCTGCCCGGTGGGTCGGTTTGGGTGTTACACAGGGCTGCAGACAGAGGGAGGGGGGAGCAGGGGAGGGATCTGGCTGCTGGAGGCCAATGGGAGCAGCTCAGTCGGCCCAGCCGCCCAATCAGCAGCCGCACTCTGCATGGAAGGGAGGGAGGGAGGCGAGGGAGAAAAAAAACCCGGACATTTTAACCTTGTTACCAATTCCTCCCGGACGCTATTTAGAGATGCAAAAGCCGGACATGTCCAGGGAAATACACCTATACCTATACCATAGAACTGAAAGGGACCCTGAAAGGTCATCAAGTCCAGCCCCCTGCCTTCACCAGCAGGACCAAGTACTGATTTTGCCCCAGATCCCTAAGTGGCCCCTTCAAGGATTGAACTCACAACCCTGGGTTTAGCAGGCCAATGCTCAAACCACTGAGCTATCCCTCCCTCTAGGATGGTAACCCTAGAGAAGCGGGAACACAGCACTTTCAGGGGAAGAGGTGGGGCTGGGGAGGGGATTTGGGGAAGGAGTCCAATAGAGGCAGGGAGGGGGCGGAGGTGGGGCAGGGACTTTGGAGAAGGGGTTGGAATGGGGGTGGGGCAGGGGCAGGGGCGGGAGGGGGTGGGGGGGGTTGAGCCCCCACCGGCACCAAGAGAAGGTGCCTATGATAGGAGCAATCTTTTACTCATGAAAGCAACACAATAGTTAAGACTGAAACTGTGAAATGGAATGCTAAACTGTATTATACTGTTTGGCCACTAGGTGGCTCCCTGTGTTACATACCTTAAGCTCACAACAGCCATTCCTTCCTGGCAGTGCATTAAAGGATTTTATAGTGAACACATCTTGTGTGTCTCTCTCTGGGAAGGAAGGTTTGTAGTCAGTCCATATCTGGGACAGAAGCCTGACTTGCTAGTAGCAGTCAGGCTTGTACTGAGTACAAGATGTACATGACATAGTGTCAGAAGCAAGCAAGTGCCAGAGGAGAGCAGAAACAGAGGGCACAAATAAAGGTTGTCAGATCTCATACCACTCTTCAGTGCTCCAGAGAACGTTAGCTTTGATGGAGCTGCATCATGGACAGACTGGAAGCAACATTTTGCAAGATTTCACCTTGCTACAAAATTCCACCAGGACCCTGGAGATATCCAGGTATCGTCTTTAATTTATGCTTCGGGGAAACCATTAGAGCATATCTTTAAATCCTTTGACTTTACTGAAGAGTCACAAAGATGACTATGAAAAAGAGTTTGGGCCATGTTTGATGCATACTTTATACCTCAGAGAAATATGGTTTATGAAAGAGCATGTTTTCACAAGAGAATTCAGGAACAGAGAAAATTTGAATCTTTTATAAAAGCCCCCAATGCACTGGCTGATAAGTGATTTTGGGAACACAAACCATACAAGTATCAGAGACAGGCTGGTTATTGGGTTAACTGACAAGAACCTCTCAGCAACCACAATAAAAGACAGACTTAAAACTACCCATAGCTATGTGGATAGTAAAGCACTCTGAACTAGTCAAACAGCACAACAAAAGACAGGAGCAACCTGAAAAACCTGAAACTTGGAGGCTGTAAACATGGACAACATGAATGCTAAAAGTCATTACCATAAAAGCCTTGACGCTATAAGGGGAGTACTAGATTAACTACAAGGCATTTCAGACCTAATGCACAAGATGTGGAAAATTTCACAGCTCAATATGTGTAGCCAGCTAAAGATGCAATAGAGAATAAATGCAAAAAATATGAACGTTTTGCAGCTGTTTGCCATACCAAAGCAGTCAGGGAGTTGATTCATATTACAGACAATCATGAGCCATTGTTTCTGGGATCTATCATGTGTGATGGCAGAGCCTGAAAAGTGAAACTGAATATTCATGCAATAACTATTTACTTTAAAACTGACTCAGGAGCAGACACAACTGTCATCTCAGAAGGGACCTGCAGTCACTTTCAACCTTTCACAGAGCAGAAGTCACCTGACATGGCCTTGAGTAGCCCCAGAGATGTTCTGAACTGCATGGGCCAGCTCACCACAGAAACAGCTTACAAAGACAAAAGCTATGCATTCAGAGTGCATGTGATCAAATGATCAAAGACCAAAAGCCTTCTCAATCGCAGTGTGGCAGCCTTAGTAAGAAAGGCGAAAGAACTTGACAGAGAATTTCATGATACTGGACTTTTGAAATGAGATCCAGCACAAATAAACTTGAGAAAATGCTGAACCATGTAGTGTACACACACCTTGCAGGATTCCTATCCTGTTGCTTCATAAAGGGGGAAATGAATTAGAGAGACTGGAACAAATTGGCATTATCAAGAAAATCTGAGGCAACAGCATGGTGTGCCCCAGTGATATTGGTTATAAAGAATAATGGAAACATATGAATCTGTGTGGCCCCTAAAGACTTAATGAAGCAGTTGTGAAAGAAAAATATATCCTCCCAACACTGGGTGACTTCCTCCCCAAAGCAAAAGGAGCTAGTCTTCTCCAAGCTGGATGCCTCAAGCAGATTCTGGCAAACTTCCTTTAGCTAAAGAGTTGTAAATTGACTCAATTTATCACACCCTTTGGGAGATTTTGCTTTTGAAGACTACCCTTTGGGATTTCCAGTGCATCTGAAATTTCCCAAAGACAAATGGCAGAACTGTTAATGAACAAATGGAGTTGTAGTTTTCATGGATTATATTTTGATATATGGGACTTTGAAGGAAGACCACAACAAAACCTTCAGTGATGTTCAAGCATAATCAGTCCGTCCAGACTGAAGCTAAACAAAGAAAAGTGTGTTTTCCACCTACCCCAAATCGAGTTTTTTGGGACAAATATTAAACAGCAATGGAATCAGTCCAAGCCCTTACAAAGTAAAAGCAATTTGAGAATTGAACACACCAACAAATGTAGCAGAACTGAGTCCCGTTCTGGGGATGGTAAATATCTTGTTCGATACCTACAAGATTTCTACAGTGATAAAACTACTGAATGAACTGTTAAAGTCCAACACATCATGGCTATGGGGGACAAATCAAGAAATAGCCTTCAAAGGGTAAAAGAAGTGATCTTAACAGCTCTGGTTCTCAAGTAGTATGATGTGAACAAACCCACAATGGTCAGTATAGATGCAAGCAGCTATGGCCTAGGTGGCGCATTGTTTCAACAACATGGCTCCGAGTGGGAGCCAGTTGCATTTTGCCCTCGCACATTCACAAACCAGGCAGAGACAGGCATTTGGCTACCTGCGTTGCATGCGGAACCTGATCTGGTAGGCATGCTCTGAAACTGCTTATTGGTTTGGGTGAGTTCACCCAAAACTGACTGAGGGGGGAGGAGCAGGGGGAGGACTTCTCTCTCATAACTTTTAGCCCCATGGTTAGGGCACTTAGAGCAGGGAGCCACCTAAGCTAGCCAATGGGAGATGTATTTGAACCCCTACCCTCTCTGCTTATGATTTACCCACTGATACTTTGGTTACACACATTTATTCATAATTCATAAATAGTTTCTGTGAACAATATGTTAACCTGTGCATTGGTCATCAATTAGGACTTTGGTATCACTATGCACAGTTAGCAACTCCTGCTGCCTAACATGATATTGGTTTTGCTTCCTGGTTGGATCGCTACAAAACACAGTTTTCAGATTTGGCGGCACCACCCTTTCCAGCCTGACTGGCTAGTCATGTGAACATATATTCAGACCAGGATTCATAGATCTACACAATCCCACTTTCTTTTTTCGCAAACATTCTTGCAAACAAAAATTCCCCATTCAAATGGTTATGTCAGTTCCCATGTTAGGTTGCTTGACCTAGATTCACAAAGGTATTTTGAGGTGCCTAGAAAATCAAAGTCTGAGTTAGGCTCCCAGGCTATCTTTGAATGGGGAGAGACAGGTGCCTTAGACTGCGGTTCACAAAAGCCAACATGCTAGGCAGGGAGTTGCCTAAGTTAGCCAATGGGAGATGCCAACCAGAGAGGTGTCCTAAGCCCCGCCCCTCTCCCGGAGATAGATGTCGGAGTCGGGGCGGCTGGGAAGCTAGTGATTCTCAGCTGTAAACCCTCTTTGGAGTCAGCTGCCTCGGGCAAATTTTGGGAAGAGGAAGATGCCAGAGAGAGACAGACAGACAGACTCACTCTCCTGATAGCTAGTACATCACCCAGGATCCAGTCTCCATGCACCAATGTTTCTTTAATGGTTTATCCACAGTGGCACAGCTTCAACAGGAGAGAGTTTGGGAGCCCCACAAGAGAATAGCCCTTAGGCCAGTGGTTGGAGCGCACACCTGAGAGGTGGCAGATCCCTGTTCAAATTCCTTCTCATCAGGCTGGGGGGAGACTTGAGCTGGGGGGTCTCACATCCCAGGTGAATGCCCTAATCACTGGGCTAAGAGTTGGGGAGATCCTCCTTTCCTGCCCCTCTCACTGGCTGTTGTGCTCTGAGCACACCTACCTGACCGGGCCTGCACACAGATAAGGGGGCTAAATGCTTATCTGCCCCCAGTTCACGAATTGCTCTTGGGCTCAGGTGGGAGATAGGTCTCAAAACACCTAGAGGGAGGCAGCCTGTGCCTGCCCAGAGGCAGAAATGTGCATCAAGATAATTTTTTTTTACTGGAAAAAATGTAGGTGCCTAGTGAGTTGAGGCACCTACAAGGTTTAGTAGGAGTTTTGTGGGTCACAATGGAGATGAAAAGTGGGATTTAGGCCCTAAATTTGGGGGTTTGATGCCCAAGTACCTTTGTGAGTCTAGGCCTTTATCCCTAGGCACAAACTCCTTATGTTCTCATAAGAGTAGAATTTGTCTTGGTGTGGATTACGTTTGTTTGTAGCTTACGTGTTTCCAGTTGCTATCAGCAGTTTGTTATAGTCCATCTTAAATCCATCCTTGAACACAGCTATCTTGTTCTTGATGTCCACAGCCGCAACCTGCAATCAGTTCTAAATAACGTTACGGGGCAAAATCGGAGACGCTTATTGAGATACCAAAGGGTTTAGTTCCAAGTGGGCAAAGGGCTGGTCTCATCTCAGAGCACGCTGGCAGCCTCGCCTGCTGCTCTGGGCTGAGTTTTCCATGGATCACATTGCATTCGCTCATGCAACCAATTCATTCATTTGGCTTCCATCGTGAATTAGTTTACTGCTCAAAAAAATCAGGGCGCAATTAGTAGTGGTGAAAGCAAAGGAGGCTGAGACTGGAGGAGTTCTGGACAAGAGTCTCCAGGCAGCTCAGACAGACTTGCCTGCAGCACTACTTGTTATTCCAGCCGTGGGCCCATTTTGAATGGGGCAGCTATAAAATGGGCACTTGTCTCAGCGCTACGTGTCGTTCAATGTTCAATTTTCATAGACATCGGCGGCTATGTCTGTGACAACCTAACATTCCCTATCCAACAGTTTGAGGAAATTACCACCTTTATTTAAGTGTACCAATTTTCTGTGACTAAAGTAGGGTGACCAGATGTCCCGATTTGATAGGGACAGTCCTGATATTTGGGCCCTTTTCTTATATAGGCTCCTATTTACCCCCCCCCCGTCCTGATTTTTCACACTTGCTGTCTGGTCACCCTAGGCTAAAGGCATGTGCCTAGAGCTGTCTGTAGTATTGATTAGTGCACTGAGAAGGCACTCACAATAGGCTCTTCACCATTTTAGGGCTCTACCAAATTCATGGTCCATTTTGGTCAATGTCATGGTCACGGGGTATTTAAATTAGTCAATCTCACGTTTTCAGATGTTTACATCTGAAATTTCATGGTGTTGTAATCGTGGGGGTCCTGATCCAAAAGGGAGACATGGGGGGGGGGGGGGAGGTCACAAAGCTGTTGTAGGGGAGTTGCAGGATTGCCACCCTCACTTCTGCCGGGGACAGTACCCAGAAGTGGGTCTGATCTCCTCCCTGAGAGCAGACATTCAGGGGAAGAAGTCCTGTCTCTGCCCAGCCCAGCCCAACTGGGACTAGTAGCTTGGACTGGAAAAACCAGCCCCATTGGTTTTGGTTTGGATTGGTTCTCACGAGCCGGGGTCTTCACCCTAGGCCTCTCCCACAGCAGCCAAGCCATTAAATCCTGAGCTGTCCTGCAAGAATCATCATGATCATCTGTGTGCACGTGAAAGATACCAAGAGCAAAGAACCTTGACAATTCCAGTGTGACCACAAACAGGAACCTGGTGCAGCAGGGCAACTTCTGCTGTAACACTAGTCCTGCCTTAACCCCATCTCAGGACTCACACGCACACGCACACGCACACACACACTCTCTCTCACACACACACACACACACACACACTCTCTCTCACACACACACACACACACACACACACCAATGCAGCAGGAAATCTGCATTTGAGGCGGCAGATGGAAGTGGCACAGCAGCACCACTTCCTTGAACGCCCCTTCTAGATTCATAGACACCAGGGCCATGAAGGGACCAGGGTGATCATTTGTCTGACCCCTGCAGAACAGAGGCCAGAGAACTGCCCCCAAATAATTCCTAGCATGGATCTTTTAGCAAAACAGCCAGTCTTGATTTTAAAACAGTCAGTGATGGAGAATCCACCCTGACCCTTGGTCAGTTGTTCCTTAGCATGAGCCGCATTGTCTTTGATCAAGTGGCAGCTAAGCCAGCACCCGTCCTGCAGGGTCATGCAACCAGGTTTTTGTGACAAAAGTAAAGTCAGGGCTGCATCCTTAATTACACTGTCACTGTGGATGGTGGTAACTTTATAAGCTACTGACCTCACATTAAACAGCAGGAAGTGAAGAACAGGATCCCAACAGGCTGAGAATTAATACAAGGAAAAAGCAATGGGTCCGGTGTTAGAGCCATCTGGGGTAGTGATTATCTGTCTTTTATACTTGTGTATACAACACCTAGAACAATGCAACCCCGATCCGGGGCTGGGGCCTCGGCGTGCTGCCGTAATACACATAAATAGAATAATAAAGTTCCTGGCCCAGGTTTATGCCCAACATACAGTTTGGTTTCCCTGTTTTGTCTCTTCTACCCAGTGCCGTGGGGAATGAGCTGTCCAAGCACCTCGTGGGCCTATCAGCACCCCAGCACTCAGCAGCGCTGTGTCACTCGCTGACCTTACTACGGTGGCCCGCAAAGGGGCCGAGAAAGGAAACATGAACAGGTAGGAAGAAGAAGTCTGTAAAAATAACTTGACAAAAAGCAAGCAAGGCAACGATTAGAAAATCTAGATGTACAAGAGAGCCAGGATAAGTTGCCTCCAAGTGTATTAAGACAATAGTTAATGGCTTTATTGTATTGCTGACACTGACTCTGGAAAAACCACAAGCAATTTAGGAGAACCTGAGAAACTGGCTGATAAAAGAAGGAAGTTGGGTCCCTGTATGTCTAACTGGTATCCTTGGTAAAATAATACAACCAGTCTTGAGTGGAAGAGTCTAAGTCAGGGTCCAATTCCTCGAAGTGCGGGGTAATTCCTAATTGCAATGCATGGAGCGGCAGTGCTCAGCACCTAACTCCTGTAGGGTGACAGCCATGAGCAATAGACAATCTAGTTTGGAGAGAACATGTCCTGCCAGCACATTGGATTGCTTTTTGGAGACAATTCTAGAATCATGGGCAGATCTTGCCCCAGTGGACTCCGGGCAGCATATTGCTCTGCGGCTCAGCCCGAGTCTGGCTGTGGAGTACTATCTGCATCCTGAGCGGAGAACAAGGACTCTGCCGAAGGGGCCCTGTGCAGTGGCTTCAAAACTGTGTAATCCCCCCGCCTATCCAGCAGCCTCCCACCCCTGGGCCCATGAGGAGCATGTTGCACAAAGCCTCCCCAAGCCTGGGAAGTCCAGGGCAGGTCTTGGCAGCTGTGTGGGAATCCTTAAAGGACCACAGACAGCTCCAGAATAGAACTGCCAGCCGGGATGAAGTTCTCCTTCTCCCGGTAACGGTGAGCTGGGGGAGGTAAAAACCACATCAGTGCCCCTCCATCCACAGGGATGACACCCTGGACTCCCCTCCTTTTATGGCAGCTCCATGGGCCAAGGCTGCACTAACCTCCATGGAGGAGAAGGGGGACATATATGTGAGGGCTAATAGCAGCATAGGCATTGACTCCGTAGGTGCTCCAAGAATGGAGCACCCACAGAAAAAAAAATAATGGGTGCTCCGCACCCACCAGCCACCCACCCATCAGCTGTTTGGCAAGATGGGGGACTCTATCCTGGGAGGCAGTGACTCTGAAAGAGACTTGGGGGTCATGGTGGACAATCAGCTGAACATGAGTTCCCAGTGCGATGTTGTGGCCAAAAGAGCTAATGCGATCTGAGATGCATGAACCGGGGACTCACAAGTAGGAGAAGAGATATTTGGCACTGGTGAGACCACTGCTGGAACACTCTGTCCAGTTTTGGTGCCCACAATTCAAGAAGGAGGTTGATAAATTGGAGAGGGGGTCAGAGAAGAGCCACAAGAATGATTAAAGGATTAGAAATCCTGCCTTATAGTGACATATTCAAAGAGTTCATTCTATTCAGCTTAACAAAGAGGGAGTCAAGGGGTGATTTGATTACAGTCTATCAGTATCTACATGGGGAACAAATATTTAACAATGGGGTCTTCACTCTAGCAGAGAAAAGTATAACACGATCCAATAGCTGGAAGCTGAAGCTAGACAAATTCAGACTGGAAATAAGGGGTAAATTTTTAATGATGAGAGTAATTAACCACTGGAACCATTTACCAAGGGTCATGGTGGCTTTTCCATCACTGATAATTTTTAAATCAAGGTTGGATTTTTTTTCCGGAGTGATCTGCTCTAGGAGTTATTTGGGGGCAGTTCTCTGGCTTGTGTTATGTAGGAGGTCAGACTAGATTGGTCCCTTCTGGCCTTGGGATCTATGAACCTGTTGTAGCTCAGGGGTCAGTTTGGTATTTTTGCCATGGTTTTAGCTGGGACCATTCACGTATAAACATTTTATTTCTAGGCTCCTGTCTCCACTAGTGAGAAAGAAGAGCGGGCTCGGCTGCCAGACTGGTGTAATAAAATAGCAAGTACATGCCTTTCAGGCTGCCACAGGTTGTTTTCTTTCAAAGGCTCTTGAGATCTGTTCTCCTGGCTTCTACCTGAGATTTCAAACTTGGTTGCTGCAGAAACTTGCAGTTCCACAGCTAGGTATCTCCCATGTTCCCTATCTATTTTATTGCTGAGTTTTCTATATCAATACACTCCCCATTCGTTTGTTTAATCAAGAGGTGTATCACCTGTCATCTCGTTAAAACCAGTTAATTCGATTAATCAGATATGTTTTACTTAAAGGAAGTGGCAACTCTGTGCTGAGCCTAGAAAGACTTTTCCACTAGTCCCCTACCCTCTCCTTTTGGACAGTAGCTGCATTCGCTTTTCCCACAAAGTGCTTTTACTTCTTTAGTTTTAAGGGATTTCCCCCCCTCCCCAGTATTGGGTCTTCCAAGTCTTGCTGTCAGTTGTCTTAATTTCTCTCCATCTGTGCAGACCTTGCATCATTTTAGTTGCCCTTCCTTAAATCCCTAAAGGTCACCTGAGGTAGTGCAGAGAGCCCGGTGTGGTCAGGGGAGAGAGATGCTTTTGAACAATCGCTGCTACATTAAAGCGAGTTAGGCCAGCTGTCAGAGTCCACAATGCACAGGGAGAGTTCGGTGCTAAGAATGGGATCTACAAAAGCCAGCATGCTGAGCAGGCAGCCGCATAAACCAGCCAATAGGAAATGCCAAGAAGAGGGGTGGGGCCTAAGCCCCACCTCTCAACAGGAGTTAGGCATTTAAATGTGGGCCGGAGGAACTGGGGTTCCACTGAGCATGTTCAGTGTGAGAACAGCCGCAGTGAGCGTCCATCTTGCTAGCCAGGCTAACGGCAGCTTTGAATAGCGACATCCAGCTGGGATCTTGTTATGAAGTGAGGGCTTTGATGCAGCTTTTGGTAATATTTCTGTCGAGGCAATTTGACAGTGCCAAAAGCTAGCTTTTGCTTTTTCTAGCCACGTACAGTCTCTGTGTTCGATACAGAACTCCCAAGATATACACTGCGTGCTATTTTGTAGGACTGCACCATGCAAATCCTGTTCTCCTTACCTGTGTTTCAGTCAGGACCTCAATGTCATTTGTACGGAAGAATTCCTTGGGGCGCAAGGTGATCTGATCTAAGTGGGAATCCATTGACTGCAACAAAGAAGCAATTTTGCTGTCAATTACACAGTTCACAGTGTGAGAGACGTGTGTGAATTCCCAGTTACAGCATTTACACATGTGTAACAGCCGTTTTCCCAGTGCTTTTCAGTGATAGCCTGAAATCTGTCCTTGCAGTAACCTGGTACACAGGAAATCTCTGCAGGTGACCAGGGCTAAGGGAAGGATCTCCATTGACTTGAATGGACTTGGTATTGGGCCTTAATTCCTTTTATATTAACTCACACTGCAGTACAAGAATTGACCTACTAAGAAAGACAGGAAGGGAAGGCTTTTGAATAGCTGTAAAGTGGAAGTTCAAAAGACATAGCATGGAAGAGCACAGAGACAGACAAAGGGGCCAAGAAAATGGTTACTTTGGGAAAGAGGATCAGTTATCCGCTGATCACTGCAGAATTTTCAAAAGTACCCAACTTATTTAGGAGCAAATGTCCCAGAAAGAGTCAAAACACAAGCCCTTATCTAGTTCTTTTTTGAACTTAGTTATACTTTTGACCTTCACAACATCCCCTGGCAATGAGTTCCACAAATAAATTGTGCATTGCGAGAAAGAGTATTTCCTCTCCTTTGTATTAAACCTGATGCCTAGTAATTTCACTGGGTTGTAGTCAATTTGTAGCCAGTGATACAAACATATATACACATAGGGAAGGAATAAGTATGAATTAAGTCAGTAACACAAAAGCTTACATGTCCCAAGCCCGTAAGGCAATAACTTACAAACTAACTGAGGCCAAAGGCTTGAGATCTGGACACAAGTAACTAACCTATACATGACCTTGTATTACAAGATGTCATGAGATAAAGTGATGTTCTAAGTAAATGTTGCTAAATTGCTGAGAGTTGACAGCAAAATGCTAGTTTATACCAGCTTTAGATATTTTAAGTTAGGAACATCAGCAGATGTTCAACCACAAGAATGCCATAGAAACTTATTGACATGTGGCCCATTGGCGACTGCCAGTAGCAAAACTCCCCAATTGCTGGAGACGGGACACTAGATGGGGCGGGTTCTGAGTTACTACAGAGAATTCTTTCCCAGGTGTCTGGCTGGTGGGTCTTGCCCATATGCTCAGGGTCTAACTGATCACCATATTTGGGGTCTGGAAGGAATTTCCCCTCAGGCCAGATTGGCAGGGACCCTGGGGGGTTTTCGCCTTCCTCTGCAGCATGGGGCATGGGTCACTTGCAGGCCTAAACTAGTGTAAATAATGAATTCTCTGTAACTTGAAGTCTTTAAACCATGATGTGAGGACTTCAGTCACTCAGCCAGAGGTGAAAGGTCTATTACAGGAGTGGGTGGGTGAGGTTCTGTGGCCTGTGACGTGCAGGAGGTCAGACTAGATGATCATGATGGTCCCTTCTAACCTTAAAGTCTATGAGTCTGTTTGATTTGTTCCTGCACAACATTTTGATTAAAAGACTAGAACAATATAAAATTAAAGGGCACATATTAAATGAATTAAAAACTGTCTAACATAGGTCTCAAAATGTAATTGTAAATGGGGAATCATCACAGAGTGGGTCTGTTTCTAGTGGGGTTCTGCAGGGATCAGTTCTTGGCCCTACGCTATTTAACATCTTTATTAATAACCTGGAAGAAAACATACAATCATCACTGATAAAGTTTGCAGATGATACAAAAATTGGAAAGTGGGTAAATAATGAAGAGGACAGGTCACTGATACAGAGGAATCTGGACTGCCTGGTAAACTGGGCCTAAGCAACCAACATGTATTGTAGTACAGCTACTGTATAGATCTGGGAACAAAGCACGCCGGCCGTACGTACAGGATGGGGGACTCTATCCTGGGAAGCAGTGATTCTGAAACAGATTTGGGGGTTGTGGTGGATAATCAGCTGAACATGAACTCCCAGTGTGACGCTGTGGCCAAGAGCTAATGTAATCCTGGTATTCGTAAAGAGGGGAATCTCGAGGAGGAGCAGAGAGGTTATTTGATCTCTGTATTTGGCACTGGTGTGACTGCTGCTGAAATACTGTATCCAGTTCTGGTGCCCACAAGCAGGGCCGCCCAGAGGATTCAGGGGGCCTGGGGCAAAGCGGGGGAGCTGCGGCGCTTGTATTCACCCGGCGGCAGTCCGGGTCTTTGGCGGCATTTCGGCGGCAGGGGGCCCTTCAGTCGCTCCGCGTCTTCGGCAGCACTGAAGGGCCCCCCGCTGCCGAAATGCTGCCACTGGGCCAGGCTCGTGGGGCCCCTGCGGGGCCCGGGGCAAATTGCCCCACTTGCCTCCCCCCCCCGGGCAGCCCTGCCCACAAGCAAGGGCGCAGGAACAGGGCGGGGGATGGTGGGGGGGCAAGGGACCAGCTGGAGCCTGGCCTGGGTAAGAGCGGCCCCAGGAGCCTGGGCAGCTGTGGGGAGCCGCGGACCCTCCACCTGCCCGGGGGGGGCGGGGGCTCGAGAGCAGTCCCTGGCCTGTGTCCCCACCCCCTGGACCCCCCATCCAGGGCAGATGGAGGCTCTGTGGCTTCCCATTGTTGCCCAGATGGCTCTTGCCACAGCCTGGCTGCAGCTCTTCAGCCCCCAAGATCCCACCCCCCTGGCCAGGCCAGAAGCTGGAGCCGGGTCAGGGTAAGAGCCACGCAGGCAGCTGTGGGGAGCCGTGGACCCTCTGCCCTGGGCGGAGGGTCTGGGGGGGTAGGAACATGGACTGGGGGCTGCTCTCAGGCCCACCCCCACCCCAAGCAGGTGGAGGGGCCCAGGCTCCCCGGCTCTGCCCACAAGTCCAGAAGGATGTTGATAAATTGGAGAGAGTTCAGAGAAGAGCTGCGAGAATGATCAAGGGATTAGAAAACCTGACAGGCTCCAGCAGCTCAATCTATTTTGGACTCAGCACCGCACAACATAACACCCTCCCCTCCCCCTCCTGGCTCTGACGGGGTGATGTCAGCCGAGCACACACACAAACCCTGCAGTGTCCTCTGCTTGGATCCTATTGGGTTCCAGAAAGCTGGGCGGGCGCAAGCCGCCCACGGCTAAAGGACCTTCCCCCAGCCTATGGGGAGGATCCACAGAGCCCGGGAAACTCACATATGGGGGACAGCGGAAAAAATAACAAGCAGGGGTGTGAATGTCAAAGGGTCAAGAAAAGGAAACCTGAAGGGGACACCGAGCAGAGAACCCCGGACAGCGCCCACTGCTCCTCAAAGGCGTCAAGGGAGCCAGGGGACGCAGCCAAGAGGAACTCTGCCCGGATGCATGGACAGAGGGAGGATCGGAAATAGGCCCCACAGTCGCAGAGAACCCCTCAGCCAACATCCTCTCCCTGGGGTTACAGACGGCCACCTTGGCCATCGCTAGGAGGAAGTTAACTGGGAGGTCCCACGACTTTGTGGGGCCACGGACAGGGTGTGATAGATAAGGAGGTAGGGGGAGAAGTGCAGCCAAAAACGTAAAAGTAGGTCCAGGAGGAGCCGTAAAAGGGGCTGCAACCTGGCGCCCTTACGGTAAATGTGCGCCAGGGTCTCCCTCATGCCGCAGAAGGGACAGGAGTGAACCGTGCCCAATACATGCCCGTGCTCACAGCCCCGTGGAGGAGCCGCCAGCCGATATCCCTGGTGGGCCGCGGGACTAGGATGGAATATAGGCTGGCCCACCAGGGTTCCTCACCCTCGACAGATGACATTAGGTCCCGCCACTTGGTATCGGGGTGGGACACGAGGGTGAGGAAATGGAGAGTCTGGAGCACAAGCATGTACAGATGTGCCCTTGGCGTGGTTCAAAAGTGAACTAGCTGCAGGTCACGCAGCTGGTTTGAGGTATCAGGGTGGGGCAGCCGGGGAGGCTCACGGGACAGGGGCCCGATGAAAAGATCCAGAGGGACTGTGGTGTGGGGTGGGCGGGGAGCATCCTCCCTCAGGACCTGCTCGAGGTAAGCTCGAGAGGCGGGTGACAAGGCTGCCCTCACCTCCTGAAGTACGCACCGGGGAGTACGGAGGGTGGAGAGCCCCATACACGGAGTGAGCTGAGCTGAGCTTCTGCTTGGATGGGTGGCAGGTTTTTAGTGATAGGTCAGATTTTGTCCCAGTGCCTAATGCCAGCTCCAGAGGAGCAGAGTTAAGGTTGTGTCCGGGTGGGAGATATTTTTAACTCTGTGTTCTCTGGTTTCCAGAGGTTTACATTTTTCTTCACTTATCTCTTTATTTTCTGCTTTCCAGAGATTAAATGTTACCCATCCTCCATGTTCTGGAAGGGTGTATCACTAACTAGCCCACTTTAACTTTGTGTGAAAGAAATCTGGTACCGTGAATGTCATTTTAAAAATAAATAATTTATGCTTACAACCTTCACTTCATTGTAAAGATTTCTGCCTAGGAATATATGAAAGAATTAAAGGTAACAATATAGAGATTAAACCCAATTCTCCCTGTATATGGATTTGCTTTGGGAATATTTACAAGTTCCTCATTTTTATGCAGACAGGGCAGTACTATGATTGAAAGTTGAACATAGGGTTTTGTATTTAATATCCTCAGTTGTTTGCAGAAAAGCAACGTCAAGCAAAAGAAGAAACAAGAGGTCAAAATGGAACAAAAGGTGCCCGTATATTTAGTAAAAGATGCATCACAGCAATAAATTCTGCTACTCCTGAAACAGCCATTTGGCTCGATCAACGTCAGGTGAATTTGTAGTTGCTGCTCTACACCAGCCATGTGAAAGAAGAAGAAGATTTAATTATGTTGGGACAAGGTCCCCAGCTAAGATTTTCTAAAGCAGGTTATGTAACCTGAGACCTAGATCAGTAGCCAGTAGCGCTCTCTGGTTTTAATGGGAGCTGAGAGCTACTCAGTACTTATGAACATGAGGCCACTTATTTAGATACCTAACTATGGACTTAGGAACTTGACATAAAGCATGTACATTGGAAAATCTCGGCCCCAGCTTTCCTCAGGCTCCATCCATTATTGGCCTTAGATGATGTTATACGAGGCAAGAGGAGGGTTCACGGGTTGGCCTCCGAAAACACACACTAAAAGGGTGACACGCTCCAGAAGTCCCTGGAATTAAGTTTATCGACAGTGCCTCAGTGCAATAAAAGGACAAGCTGGCAAAGTTTCTAGTGACCCGGGACACCCACTGTCCAGTGAGAGAAACATTCTGAGAGGGGAGCCCAGTAGCTGTTCGGTAAGAATATGAAACATTCTGGATGATACAAACCTTACTTAGCTTGGGTCGGTCATAGGGTAAGTGTCTGTCCATTGTGCACATGACGATCCTGTCGGAGAAACCTTCCTGTCTTAAGGTCTCTGCACAAACTAATCCAGCAGCACCTAAGAGACAGAAGGCCAGTAATTGCTACATATGTATTTTATTTAACAAGTGAAAAGTTTAGCATCCGTCCAGTAGAGGCTCCATAATCTCTCACACCTTTTTTTTGTGAATCTAGCCCTTCATTTCTTTTGCTTTTATGCATAAATAAATAAAAAGGTAGCCTAGCGCTATTCCAGTAATGGGAGTGGATTCCGAAGTGCTCCATTGGGTAGCAGGTTTTACTCTGTCCCCAGAGCTGCTGCCTCACTTGTTAGGGTGTGAACCCCCTGCCGTCTGGCTGGAACTGGAGCATTAGGAGTGCTGTAAAATGAGCTGGCTGAAACCTGGAAAAGACATTAATCAAACACGTTCTCTGATTAAATCGTCATTATCTGATCAGTAACTTGGGTCCGGAGTCTGATGTCCATTCCCATGGGTAGCTGTGCCTTGCTCCAGGACCAGTCCCCTTGAAACCAAGAGGCAGGAGCGTCAGAATTTGGCTTGTATCCAGCAAAGCGCACTGGCACAAAGGGAGTGGGAAATGCAACAGGAGAAGAGCAGGCATAGCTGGCTTCTAAACAGCTCTTCCCACAGCAGGAAGCAAGAGGACAAGGAGTGGTGGAGCATGGAGTGCTTTGGCTTTCCCCCATGGCATATGGCACCTGAGGGACTACAGCCATCTGGCATAAGCAAGAACAGCCCCAGCTGTAATCTGCACCGGGGCCAGGGGCCAAGCAGCGAATCAACAGCTCACTCCCTGATAGCCCGGCTCTACTTCGCTAAGCATGACCTGAGTAAACCGTAAAATCCGGCCTAGGATTTGACTAACTCCAGAGATAATCAAATACCACCAAAGGTCCTTGTTCTATTAGTCGTGCCATGACAGCATATGCTGAACAATGTCTTGGCCAAACAGTACTGTACCAGCTCTAGGTGTATACTTGCAGCTTTGAAAAATGAGTAGAAATTTCTCAGACTTGGGGCTCTTCTGCGACTGAGCCTGCAATAATGGTGTCTTTGCAAGCAATGACTAGTCCATGCTAACCATCATTGGAAAGGCAGCGTCCACCATGTCTCCCTGTCCTCTGTAGAAAAGCAACAGCCGGGAAGTTTGTTGCTGCCTACAGACTGGTGGAGTCTTCTCTTCTGTAAAGTTTTGTTCCATCCACGAAAAACATTTTAAGAAAAGCACAAAGTACCAACACAAATGCAACTGGCCCCTCCTACTCCCACCCCTCCTCCAATTTGTCTCTGGTAAGTTTGGAACTAAAGCATGTCTACACTAGGGAAATTCTGTAAAATGATCTCATTGTTGCTATCATCATTTCAGCTTGGCTGGTGCTAATTATACTGAGAGCACTAGTGTCAAGGGGCTGTTTTAAGCACTGAACTGGTTAAACATACTCTGAGCTGCGTATAAGACCCAGTGCTTAAAGTAAGTACTGCAGCCAGTAACCCATCTGCGCTAGAGCCATAGATTCCAAGGACAGACAGTAGCACTGTGGTCATCTAGTCGGACCTCCCTGAATTAATTCCTGTTTGAACTAGAGCAGATCTTTTGGAAAAACTAGGTTGTGGAAACCAATGCAGTTGAACTGGTGACAGAGCAATGGTGGAAGTTTTGCAAAATTTTCTTACTGTAGACAAAGCTGTAATTCCAAACTTAATACACACCAGTTGGGAGAGAGATTGGGGAGGACAGGCCAGCAGGGCCAGAAGCTTTGCTATTATATACCTGCATTTTATATAGGCTAGGAGAGTGGAGATTATCGGCAGCTCAGGAGCATGGGGGGGGAGTGTCTAAGGCCTTGTCTACACTTACCAAGGCATGGCGATTGATGCATTGGCGGTCGATTTAGCAGGTCTAAATCAACCGCTGATCACTCTCCCATCGACTCCTGTACTCCACCTGAACGAGAAGTGCAAGGGGAGTCGACAGGAGAGCGTCTCCCATTGATGTCGCGTAGTGTGGACACTGCGGTAAATAGATCTAAGTACGTCGACTTCTGCTATGTTATTCATGTAGCTGAAGTTGCGTAACTTAGATCGATCTCCTCCCGTAGTGTAGACAAGGCCTGCCATGCGGGCAGGGGACTGGACTCGATGACCTCTCGAGGTCCCTTCCAGTCCTAGAATCTATGAATCTATGAATCTATGAATCTAAGGAACTGGTAGTTCGGATGGTGATTAGACAGAGAGCTGCCTGGGAGTCTGGTGACAGTTTAGGAGGAAATGACTGTATTCACAGAGTGGGATAATTAAAACATATCAGGTGCAGGAGTTAGGGGTTACTTATACACAGGCCCTCCCCATATCCCTCTATTGCTCTGGATCTAGGGTGGGTATGGTCTCAATACAGACCAGGAACATAACTTACTGGGCTAACTGTGCAGTGAAGAAATACCCTGAGAAACTTGCAGTGGGAGCAGTAGTTATTTATCCAGTGTGGGAGGTTGGGGAAGGGCTTCCACAAAGTTTGGGAGCAAATGTCTATAAATTAGATGCATGGGGCACATTGTACATAGAGTCGTAGATTTTCATCTAGTCTGACTTGCTGCATAGCCCAGGCCAATGGTTAGCGTAGTGGCATACTCAGATCTTGAGCTTAGTTAATAGTTCTGTATTGCTGGATCTGGTGTGTGGGTCTATACACATTAGGAGAATGGACAGTTATGAACCCAGACTGGGAGTGGGCTGGGTGTATCCACAGACTGGCCGGGAAGATGAAGGGTGTACATCAGTTAGCATATACTATTTACTGTTCTCTTTATATCCTCCACTGTAATGACAGAGGTCTGCTGCTGTCAGCAGGCACATCGCGATACCTGCTCCGATGATCAGTACGTTGGTGCTACTGATATTGTAGTTGCTGAGGGAGATACATTTTGCCATAACCTTTGTCCTTCTTTGCGTCAGAAGAGCCTGCGTAGCAATTAACGAGATGATTGTCATTAACGGTTCAAAGCTTTAACTTTGCCAGGTACAAATGGGAACAGCTATGAGTTATTTTGTAAAGAGGCTTGGATGAAAGCTTCTCTCTTATTGCCTGAAGAGGATTCCAAACCCACACCCAACAAAAGCACTATGGGACTATCAAACCTTTCCACCAGACATGTCACTATGCTACTTCCAGAAGGCAATTGAAGAATAAATCCACCACCAGCCACAAATTCATCCAGGTCAGAAAGTTTGGGTACCAAACAAAGCTGTGGCAGTGCTGGTTAAATGTTCTTTAGCCTTACAACTATACAGAAGCAAGTCCTAGCAAAGCAAAGCTCAGTGTAACTTCTACCACCCCGTGTACGGAGCCCCACATTGCCAAATGGAGAGCTCAGCACAGGATGGCAGGGATGGGAAGGTGTGATCCCTTTTCATCAAACCCCAACATTCACATGTGTAACCTGGGTAGATGGGACACTGCATCGCAAATCATCTGTCCACATGCTGGCAGCCACAACTGATATTAGTGACCACTTTGGGCCAAATCTTTGAGTCACTGGAGCTCCTTAGATGTATATGGGTGGATATCAGAACGTGGCTCCTAATAGATAGAATGTGCATAGAATCATAAGCCTGGAAGGGACCTCAAGAGGTCTTCTAGTCCAGTCCCCCACACTCATGGCAGGACTAAGCATTATCTAGGCCATCCCTGACAGATGTTCATCTAACCTGCTCTTAAAAATCTCCAGTTACAGAGATTCCACAACCTCCCTAGGCAATTTATTCCAGGGTTTAACCACCCTGACAGAAGTTTTTCCTAATGTCCAACCTAAACCTCCCTTGCTGCAATTTAAGCCCATTGCTTCTTGTCCTATCCTCAGAAGTTGAAGAGAACAATTTTTCTCCTTCCTCCTTGTAAAAACCTTTCATGTACTTGAAAACTGTGATCATGTCTCCTCTCAGTCTTCTCTTCCCTAGACTAAACAAACCCAGTTTTTATAATCTTCCCTCATAGCTCATGTTTTCTAGACCTTTAATAATTTTTCTTGCATATCTGAGCAGTCTCTAAAAGCAAACCTAGAGCATTCCTTGTGGTACTCCCTAGGGGGCAGCAGACAACCTCGGTAACGTGGACCCCTGAGTGTGGAAGGGCTATTTATTTCCTGTTTGGACATTTGTTTACCTAACCAGAGGGCCAAAGGATCAAATCACCCTTGCCTCCCCGCAAGCTGCTGTCCCCAGTCCCTGTGTTTGGATGCCAGTGGAATCTCTCCCCCTCACCTGTTTGCTCGCTCGGATGTACACCTTCTCCTTCTCGATTTTCACCTGGGGCGAGAAGACAGCAGTAGTTTGCAGAGCAGTTAGCGTCTCTGGGTTTAAAGGGAGGGTTCTGTGCTAACTGCTGAACTAAACATAGGTCAATGCAAAACAGGTTCTGTCCACTTAGCCACACTGCCCGCTCGCTGTACTCTCTGCATGGCCCATGTAAGAGCTGGGTGGCTCTCCTACATCCAGGGGGCTGGGACTTTCTCTGTTAACTGGTATCAGGTGTACAGGGATCTTTAGCAGAGTGTCCATCTCTGTTTGTCTGGATTCTTATCCCCCATGCCTAAGTTTCTTCTCAGCCCCACTGTGTCCTGGGGGGCACCTGGATGCCCTTCTCCCCTCCTTCTTTGCCTGCCCCACCACTCTTCACCAGCAGCAGCCGTTGTGTAACAAGCCCTTCCCATGTATGTGCCCCCTCCCTTTCTCTCTCCTTTTTCCTTACCCTGGAGGCTCAGGTTCCCAGGAGCTGGCTGGCACTTGCAGATGGGTGCAGGGCAAAGGGGTCAGCTGGAATCATGGGGGTCAGGTGGAGGGAGCAGTGAGTGGGGTCACATGAAGTCACCACCACCCCTGCACTTGGGAGACCCCAGCTCTGCACTCTGAAAGGAAAACACTTCCCCCACCCCCTCCTCCCTTGATGGTCATTTCTTTCTCTACAGATTGAAAGATCTCACCTGGAATTTGGGTAAGCTGTCCAAGCCAGGAAAGTCCTCTATATCACCAGTGCCAATGCTGAAACAAGCCCCATGCCAGGGACAGCGCACTCTTCCTTTGGATAAAACCCCTGCAAAAGGCATGGCAGGAGCGAGTCACACTTCACCATAGACCCTTCCCTACCATTTCCTAGCAATCCCGGTGAGATCTTGCAACATTCCTGATGGCCAGTGATCAGGTGTTGGCCCCCTTCATGCTGGCTCAGTGACAGTGCAGAAGCATGTCAGCATATATTCACAGATCTGGAGGCCACTGTATTAGCCTCTGTCATTGATCCTGGAGAGGATGGAACTGCAGGTGCTGAAGATAGGTCAGTCCTGCTGAGATGATCAGGGTTGATCGCAGGGGGATGCAGTCCAAGGCCTGGTTTGAGAGTGGGACAACTGTGTGAGTCCATCCAGAGAGGTGATGGCTCGAGGCCTGAGAAAGGGGTGCCCTTGAAGAGACCAGGAGGGATCAGAGGTGCAGCTAGCCTAGGAACTGTGACAGGGCTCACTGGATTTTAAATTGTGCAGCCCAGTGCACGGCACGGGACCCGAGTTGGGGGGTGAAAAGGTTGTTATATAGACCCTTGTGCTCCCCTATTGCAGGGGTGGCAGTGGTTGGTTCAGCCCCTGATGCTAGTTAACAGCTGTCTCCTGCAAAGGAGCTGGAGCAGAGCTGAAAGTCTGGTGTCTAGGGACCAAAGCCAGCTCTCCCACGAGCCCAACAGGTAAACGTACAGCACTAAGCTATAACCGTATAAGCTCCTTTGTAACAAGAGAACCGTATCCACACTAGGGGCTGCACCAATTTCACCTGGAACAGTTAAATTTGCTGAAAAAATGGCATGTAGAGCAGCTCTTACTGTTTTTGAG